AGCACGGTTTCGGCACGCAATTAGGTGCTGTTTTGCTGTGGCGAAGGGTTCCTTCTGGAAGCCTGATGCTTGCAGCTTGGAGCCACCAAACAACAGCTGAAGGAGACAGAAAAAGAGATTTTTTCTAGGAATTCAGAAGGGGCGTTAGGCAGTTTTTGTTGATAAGTTTGAGCACGGTTTCGGCACGCAATTAGGTGCTGTTTTGCTGTGGCGAAGGGTCCGTTCTGGAGGGCTGATGCTTGCAGCTTGGAGCCACCAAACAGCAGCTGCAGGAGACAGAAAAAGAGATTTTTTCTAGGAATTCAGAAGGGACGTTAGGCAGTTTTTGTGGATAAGTTTGAGCACGGTTTCGGCACGCAATTAGGTGCTGCTTTGCTGTGGCGAAGGGTCCGTTCTGGAGGACTGATGCTTGCAGCTTGGCGCCACCAAACAAAAGCTGCAGGAGACAGAAAAAGACAGACATTTTTTCTAGGAATTCAGAAGTGACGTTAGGCAGTTTTTGTGGAATAAGTTTGAGCACGGTTTCGGCACGTAATTAGGTGCTGTTTTGCTGTGGCGAAGGGTTCCTTCTGGAAGCCTGATGCTTGCAGCTTGGAGCCACCAAACAACAGCAGCAGGAAACAAATAAAATAAAAAAGATAGATTTTTTCTAGGAATTCACAAGGGGCGTTAGGCAGTTTTTGTGGGTAAGTTTGAGCACGGTTTCGGCACGCAATTAGGTGCTGTTTTGCTGTGGCGAAGTGTTTTCGTTCTGGAGGGCTGATGATTGCAGCTTGGAGCTTACCAGACAACAGCTGGTCAGGAAACAAAAAACAAAAAAAATATAGATTTTTTCTCAGGAGATTGGAATGGGCCGTTTGAGAAGCTGGCGTTAGGCAGTTTTTGTGGATAAGTTTGAGCACGGTTTCGGCACGCAATTAGGTGCTGTTTTGCTGTGGCGAAGGGTCCGTTCTGGAGGGCTGATGCTTGCAACTTGCAGCCACCAAACAAGAGCTGCAGGAGACAGAAAAAGACAGACATTTTTTCTAGGAATTCAGAAGGGACGTTAGGCAGTTTTTGTGGATAAGTTTGAGCACGGTTTCGGCACGAAATTAGGTGCTGTTTTGCTGTGGCGAAGGGTCCATTCTGGAAGCCTGATGCTTGCAGTTTGGAGCCACCAGACAACAGCTGCAGGAAACAAATGAAATAAAAAAGAGATATTTGTTCAAGGAATTCAGAAGGGGCGTTAGGCAGTTTTTGTGGGTAAGTTTGAGCACGGTTTCGGCACGCAATTAGGTGCTGTTTTGCTGTGGCGAAGGGTTCCTTCTGGAAGCCTGATGCTTGCAGCTTGGAGCCACCACACAACAGCTGCAGGAGACAGAAATAAGATATTTTTTTGTTCAAGGAATTCAGAAGGGGCGTTAGGCAGTTTTTGTGGGTAAGTTTGAGCACGGTTTCGGCACGCAATTAGGTGCTGTTTTGCTGTGGCGAAGGGTCCGTTCTGGAGGGCTGATGCTTGCAGCTTGGAGCCACCAAACAGCAGCTGCAGGAGACAGAAAAAGATATTTTCTCTAGGAATTCAGAAGGGACGTTAGGCAGTTTGTGGGGATAAGTTTGAGCACGGTTTCGGCACGCAATTAGGTGCTGTTTTGCTGTGGCGAAGGGTCCGTTCTGGAGGGCTGATGCTTGCAACTTGCAGCCACCAAACAAGAGCTGCAGGAGACAGAAAAAGACAGACATTTTTTCTAGGACTTCAGAAGGGACGTTAGGCAGTTTTTGTGGATAAGTTTGAGCACGGTTTCGGCACGCAATTAGGTGGTGTTTAAAATTGCCACAACTTCCAAAGCACACCTAAGTAAGTTTGAGCACGGTTTCGGCACGCAATTAGGTGCTGTTTTGCTGTGGCGAAAGGTCCGATCTGGATGGCTGATGCTTGCAGCTTGGAGCCACCAAACAACAGCTGTAGGAGACAGAAAAAGATATTTTTTCTAGGAATTCAGAAGGGACGTTAGGCAGTTTGTGTGGATAAGTTTGAGCACGGTTTCGGCACGCAATTAGGTGCTGTTTTGCTGTGGCGAAGGGTCCGTTCTGGAGGCCTGATGCTTGCAGCTTGGAGCCACCAAACAAGAGCTGCAGGGGACAGTAATTCACGAGCTCAAGACCCAGACTCTGGTTGAAGTCGTCGAGGAACTGCTCAGGGGGGTGAAGGGGTTTGGTGGGTGGGTGTTCTTACTATATCAAAATATCTTGTCAAATATATTGCATTCAAAAATATTAAATATACCTTATGAAATACTGAAGAATATTTAGGTCAATCTTGTGACCTTGGTAATCCACCGACTATGTCACTTTGTCCGAAGTCTCTGGCCTTCCCCAGCTTCTTCACATTCTTTTCCGGGGTCGGCGGCAGGGGCGGCAGCCCTTAAATAAACACTAATTTAAACCATCACAAGTATACTAACATTCAATGGATTGGTTTAAGGGAAAATCTTAACCGGAAACCATAGATTTCCCAATAAAAAATATGGAGCTTTTCTTGTAATTTTTCCCTTAAACCAATCCATTGAAACATGAATAGCCGCAGTTTATTCCCATCCAGAACGAACTGCATCCCACCGAACCTGCCGAGGCTTGGATCTGCTTCACATCTACCAAGTCCTCTTGCAGAAAACTGCTGTCGCCACCGTAGGACGCATGGCCCCACGTCAAAACCCTGCCGTCCTTGGCATAGGTACAAATTTAAGGAATGATATGGGATGATTATGGATTATTATAGTTATTATGGCATTATTATGGCATTATTCTGGCATTATTACGGCATTATTATGGATTATCATGGCATTACTATGGCATTATTATGGATTATCATTGCATTATTATGGCATTATCATGGCACTATTATGGATTATCATTGCATTATCATTGCATTATTATGGCATTATTATGGCATTATCATTGCATTGTTATGGCATTATTATGGATTATCATGGCATCAATATGGCATTACTATGGCATTATTATGGCATTATTATGGCATTATTATAGCATTATCATGGCATTAATATGGCATTATTATGGCATTACTATGGCATTACTTTGGCATTATTACAAAATTGGATTTTCTGTCGAATCTGCTGATTTGGGGAGCATGGATTACTGCCAAGCAATGATTCTTAGCCTCCACAATGCTCTCTCACAGACTGAGCTTGGCTCCAATCAAGAACGCTTCGATGCTGCTGATTTGTGTTCTCTTATCTCTACCTCTTCGTGTGAAAATGATCAGCCCCTTTCTCACTGGATTGGTTTGTTGGGGAAAATCTTAACCGGAAACCCATGGGTTTCTACCATCAAATTGGTTGGGCTTTCCGGTTAAAATTTTCCCATAATCCAATTCTATGACTTTCAACTTGGTTGGCTTGAGAAAAGTCTTTCAGGAAACGATAGATGTTAGCAGGCAAAAAGATGAATGATATCCTATCAATCTTCCCTGAATTCCGAGCGAGGATGGTCGGTTCAATTTTTTCTCATTGCCTGGAGAACCCAAAACCTATAAACTATAAACATATATAATAACATATATATATAATAAAAAATAATGGTTCTTGGGTAAAAACCAGGTTTTTCTCTAAGAAACACCATCTCATTGAAATTTCACCAAATCCCCTGCATTTACCTCCAATCCCCCGAAGTCCAGCCTTTTTATCCTTTTTCCTTCCAGATCCTCCACCCCTTTCCACCCCGCTTGGGTCAGTTCTTGGATCTTAAAGTCTCCAGATCCCTCAAAGTAAAAAACTCGCACTAGTTACATTCAGGAACCATGGCCAAAAACCCATATTTTTCCTTCGGGTTGCTACGGGATAAATACGGATTACGAGATTGTTCTACCGGTATCAAAGCCTATTTTTGTTGGGGCGACCTTCAAAAAATGTCTTTACTACGGGTTTTGCATACGGGTTTCTCTGATTTCCATTCTTTTCTGCCACAAAAAGCCCCGTGTTTCCATCATGTTCAAGGAAACCCAGCCTGCACCGAACCAAGTTCGATAGTAAATGGATCCGAATTGCTGGGCGGCCATATAAAGTTGCCTCGAACCAGGTAGGTAACCTTAAAAAATATCATGATTTGGAAGCACGTATCTAAGAACATGATATCCTATGATGATAACAGACAAAACTAAATTCAATGACATGAATAATATGGTATGAAATTATGTTATATGACATAAAGGGAGGCTCTATGATATAATCCATGGGATAAACATTGTTTTGTGTGAAAAAAAAAGTTTTTGTCATGACTTTGCAAGAAAACCATGTTTTTTGATTGCGACCTACATTTTTATAGGTTTTAGGTTCTTTAGGTAGAACAACCTCAATTTGGGGATACCTGAAATTGGGTATATTTGCCAGTATACCATATACCCCAAACCTCCAAATCGGGAAACTGATGTTCCAATCCTTTTCGACTTGTGGATAAAACCGAGTGTCAAGCACAAACCCAAATAATTACTCATTGGTTGTGGAAATAATACAATATATCCCAGTACATATACTTGGCAAATATCCCCATAGTTATACAATGTAACATGTAATGGTTTTCCGATCAAATCACCCCTTGTTTGATACGACATTCCATTGAATATCAATTACATATAAGATTATATAAGTCCTTACCTTTTTAGTGGATATTTGATGGTTTTATCCCCATTGTTCTATTTGATTCTACTTGTATCCCGGCCTGGTCATCCCGCTATGAAATCCATCGAAATCGGCCCCTTTCCTTTGCCGCGTCTCCGCCAGAATGGCCGCGAAGGCCTTCTGCGTGGCTTGGATCTGCCGCACGTTCCGCAGCTGTCTCCAGGCGTCGTCGTCGATCGCACCACCGTAGTTGGCGTCGCCCCAGACCACGACACCGCTAGCGCAGAGGGCGAAGGCAGAGGAGTTGGCGGCAATCCTGGGATGACCACGGAATTTGAGGATCCTTTAAAGAGAGGAAACAGTGGTTTTTATGTGCTTTTACCAATCAAATGTTGGAATAAATTGTGCAAATTCTCTCTTAAACTTAAACCTATTCTGATGCGTTGAAACACCACCAAATGGTGATATCATAATATCACCATCATGTATTATTGTAATTCTCAAGAAAAACATTGACAAAGCAAATACCGTCGTTATGGCACAAAAAACTGATGTTTGCAGCTGGAACTTTGGGAAAATGGTCGCTACATCTCTTTGTATGGGCAATTTCGTCCTTATTCGAAGTGGCTTAAGCTATCAGCATGCAAACGATACTATGTTGCGTCCCCATTCTCAGAGGCTTGACTTGATCTCACATTCATCACCAATCCTTAAATGATATCTTCATCATTATTCACATTCTTGTGTTGATCACTTAGCAATTTAAACTTGTTGGATTATGCTTCAACCCCATCAACCCATGGCCCAGGGCTCCGTGGAATTTGAACCACTGCAGTGACCACATCTCCGTCTTTGACGCCCTCCTCCTCCAGGCTTCTCTCGGGTTCCAACAAATGCCCTGTGGAAGATGTGAGCCGCAGGAAACCCTGCGAGAAATGCCTCAGGGCAGGAAACCAATGGAGGATTCTCATGGATCTCCATGGATCTTCCATGTTTCTGTCAGGCTTTGGATTTCTTATCATTACTAACCGTTATTAATAGTAAGATCAATTATCCTGATTGGCATTATTATTAAAGTATTGTATTATATGATATTTATTGTTATCATGTTTTCCATATTTGTAATATATGTATTGTTGTTGTCAGTTACGGGTGCTAATGGGTAGCGTCGCGAAAATTATTACTCTTATTATAACACAAGCAAAAATTACGCCATTCATAAGAATGGAATGTACCTGGTCCATGGCGTCTCGTTGATTTTTCCACTTAGACTGCACACTTGGTGTAGGTCCCTTAAGTACTATTGCCACTGTTTGTTGTATGAAAATGTATCACGCATTTGTGTGCAAATTGCTTCCCCGCCCTACAGACAAATGAGAAGGACTGCCAAGCGACTCTTGAATTTCAAGCTTCAGACATTGCACAGTGGAACTTGCATCAGTCTGCACTTTCCAAGTTCGACCACTGGCCAAACATACAGATACTTCCATTGGCCAGATATGGCCAGATTGCTCAAGCAAAATTAACACTCATCGAGGTACAAGTATACATAGAGGTGTGAAGTGAGTTCCAGGCAAATGTTCACAGTCACCTTGTTTTCAATATATAGAAAGTAATGCATTACTTTGTTACCAAAAACTTTAGTATGTCCATCATGCATCTATACGTATCCACCTTTTAGGTGCTCACAAAGTTTGACTCGAAAAGTCACATGACACTCCAGCAACGTTTCTTTTTGCTGAGCCAAGAATAGCAAAACAAGTGGAAATCAGGAGGGAGGACCAAACCTTTCAATAGTACAGACCATTGATATGGGGGTTTTGACCAATTGGGTGCCCAATTTTTAGTTGAAGACTGTGACTGGTTGGGGTTGGTGGTTTTAACCATCTTGAAAAATATGAGTTCGTCAATGGGTTTCGGATGACATCCCATATATGAAATGGAAAATAATCCAGCCATGTTCCAAACCACCAACCAGGTGATGTTTATGTTGACCCATTTAGAAATGGTCAAGGCCATATTTTTGAGCGTGTGAAAGTACCGGAAACGATGGACGAGACCCCACAAGGCGAAGCGATTCGATAATCCAAAAGCAGAAAAGTTGCGCATGTCGCGTACTTTCCCAAAGTACCATCTTGCCCAGTTGAACCATGTTATACTGTAAATACCAACAAAAATGCTGGAACACATGGCAAAATCTATAGGAACACATCATATATCAATTAGAAACCCAAAAAAATCTAGTACTCCCAAATCCCAAATTGTCTAAATCCTTGGAATTTGGGATTTTCCCAATTTTCGAGACCCAGTCCTTGTAAGCATCACCTGCCATTGCACCTCAGTGCAGGTTCCGAATTTGCCCCACCTATAGGCACTTGCTCATGGCACTAAACAACCAAAAAAAATGTAATTATGTGAAAGCCATAATAGCTTAACATAAAATCATATGATATCAATTGATATCATATTAATGTATATTATATGGATTTATATGGTTATTTAGTAGGCTAATTACAGACATTCCACCCGTTTTCTCCGGTAGAATTCATCAAAATGCTGATTTCAGACACACCAAACCGCCCAGCGCAGCTGGTGCATTTTTTGGGTGGTCACATGGCTGTGTCTGAAAATCATGTAGCCCTAAAGCCAATGGTTTTGCTGATCATTATCCCTATTAAATGGCTATCATTGGGAAGATTAACCCTATTTTCAGACAAACCCACATGGAGGTTTCCGTTTTGTCGGGGTTTTCGCCCACAGTGCCATCCATGGATCCAAGGCTGGCACCAATGGATTCTGCGGGCACGTTTGGGGGAAACATCACCCAACGCCTCGTTTTTTTTGCATGGAAACCAGGGAGGAGTTCCAGCCACCGAAAGCAGGTTGGGTATTTGGATGTATTTGGATACCCTCTGGTAAACTAACATAGCTATTGAAAATGGCCATTTATAGTGGATTTACCCATCGAAAATGGTGATTTTCCATAGCTATGTTAGTTTACCAGAGGGTAATCCATTTATATCTGGTCGGTGGTATACCTACCCCTCTGAAAAATGATGGAGTGAAAGTCAGTTGGGGTTACAATTCCCGATGGAAAGTCATAAAATTCCATGGTTCCAAAACACCAACCAGATTATCATCTATAAATCACCAACCATTTCCAACAGAACTATGGAAAATCACCATGCTATCAATGGGTAAATCCACTGACCAGGTAATTTTATAGATGGGATTTGACGAGATAACCCACAAAAAGGGGACTACTCCAACCAGATAACCCACAAATTTATCCACTGGTTTTTGTGGACTTACGATCGCCAGGGTTACGAACCAGTTGCTAAGATGATGGGGTAATTCTTCACCATTTTGGTCCGGGTACTTGTACGGAGGATCTAGATGGGTCTAGGGCTAGGGAATCATCTAAGCTGTGGAATTTCCCATGTTCAACTTGTCAATCACCTCTCCTCATGGTCTTATGTCCTGGCTGCCAGGTTTGATTGCTGCTGGTGGAATCACCCTGAATCAGAGTCCATTGCCATTGCCCAAAGCTTTGTGATTGGCCCAAAGCCGACAGCTTTTCAAGGATGGTCCAAAAAACTCGCCCAAACTTGGCGCCATGTGGGGGCATTCCCCCGAAACCAAGTCCCTCATTTCAGGGTCATTATATGATTCATCCACCCAAACCCTCTGTATCCATAAAAATCCGCCCACACCGCTTTGGCGGTGAAGGCGTGCTTATTGGGGGGCAACAGCAACACTAAATGCTCAATGACATTTGTTAATATAGCAGTCGCTATATCAGCTTTAGCTGGGGGGGGTGCCCAAAAACGGTTTCGCACCGAGACCAGAATACGGTGGTGTTTTCGACATTTTTCGAGGATTTTTGGGTGTCTGAGCGCAAGAGGGTATTGAAATGGAATTTTGGGTCATTTTGGTAGCTTTCCGGCAATGGAAAAACGGCCAAAAATGAAAAAAAACATTGTACATAGCAAGAATTTGCAGGGTTTTTGGATGCCAGAGCATTGAAAACACTGCAAAACAAGTGTTTTGGACTGACGTTATAGCAAAAAACGTGTAAATTACCGTATGCTTGACTGGAAACATTACAAAAACACTGTCAAAAGCAATGTTTTGGAAGGATTTACTGCCTTTATGGCAAAAAACGTGTAAATTACCGTATGCTTGACTGGAAACATTACAAAAACACTGTCAAAAGCAATGTTTTGGAAGGATTTACTGCCTTTATGGCAAAAAACGTGTAAATTACCGTCTGTTTGACTGGAAACATTGGAAAAACAGTCAAAAACAATGTTTTGGAAGGATTTCTTATTGAAACTTCTTAGCTTGAAGAGCCCCCACGGGGGAAAACCACCCTTAGCCCCTCTCACGGACCGAAATAAACCTGCGGTGTGGGCGGCCACCCCACGCGAAGCGGGGTGAATATCCTGTTTTATCATCCCCCCACAGCATCCAGATCCAAGCCGAAAAAACAGGTCCGGTCCCCGAGCTTTCTTCCGCACAACAAGGTGTTCCAAGCCGACGACCATTTAGGATCCTGCCGTGGCCACGGAGACCATCCAAGTGGAAAAGTGGATGGGAAACCTGGAGAATGCGGAGAAATCATCAAATTTTAGAATATACCCTCTGGTTATGTCAAAATAGCTATTGAAAAGGGGCCATTTATAGTGAGTGTTTCCCATTAAAAAAGGTGATTTTCAATAGCTATGTTAGTCATAACCAGAGGGTAACTTCGAAACTCATATGGCGATGGGTCAAAACCTTGTACCCCTGTAGTTCACATCAAAATAGCTGGTAAATGGATGTTCATCCCCCTAAAAATTGTATTTTCATAGGTATTGATCCATAGCCATATGAAATGAATTCATATGAAATTCATATAAATGGGATACCTATAGGGTTAATCCACCTATAAGTGGGCTTATAACCCACTTACTAAGTGGGATGAGCCACCAAGTAAAGGATCCGCAGTCGTCAGGCCATGGATGCTTTCTGGGCACTTCCGGAAGAGCCTTTTTGCGATCGCCTCAATTGAATAGTGTGTCTGGTCTCACATCAGCTACCCGGCCTGGTAAACATACAAAAAGCTATTGAAAATGGCCATGTATAGTGGATTTACATGGATTTTCCCATTGAAAATGGTGATGTTCCATAGGTTTATGTTAGTTTACCAGAGGGTAAAGCCAAAGGGAAATCCCAATTTTTCTTTGCGGAAACCTACCTGGCTGTTTTTTTTGAAATGGACATTTCCTAAGTCATGGGGGTACCCTAATCGTCCAAGTCATGGATGATCATTGAAACCAATGGTGACTTGGGGATCCAGCAATTTCAGAAACTCCCATATCTGATGGATCTGATGTTCATCTCCAAAACAAACGTGTATAATGTCATATATTGTCCATAAAAAAAGTACGTATGCAACTACCCGCCTGGTTTCATAAATGTCCCTATCTGGTATGTACTATAATTATCCCCAATAGATCCCAATAGATCCGAGGTAGATACCCAGTTGTGGCTCCCAACTAGGCCTTGTGCATGTTGCTGCCGGTTCGATGGCCACCCACCTGTCGGTGAAACAACAGCATGGAATCAGCGTACGGAGGGTCTAGGTGCATGTAAATTTACATTCTTTCTGTTTTAGTAAGATATCATAGTATATATATATATGTATTATCTATATATATAATATTATATATGTATGTATATATATATATATATATGTATTATATATATACTGTATATGGTATGTATCTTTTCTGCATCTCTTTGGGGGTTGCTATGATTCGACTATGATGGGTTTTCCCCGGATCATTACCCCCCCAACCGAAATGCATCGCTGCGGGGTCAGGGGACTCATGGCCGAAGGGGTCCGAAGGGGTTGAGATGGATGTCACTATCAAAATTGGAAGTATAGTGGCCAGCAAGGGGGGAGCAATAAAACTGCGGATGGTCAACCGACAATCATTGCGAGTAAATATCCGCTGGACATGGAGGGATGTTGTTTCAACATTCCCCAAATAGCTACAGAAATCAACTGGGTTCAAGGCTTTGACCCGTCCACACACCCTGACTGTCAACTCAGCGCACCAAAACAAAGAGGTGACAGGAGAGCGGCAGAAATTCGCGCACCTGTCGTGATGAGGGCTGCTATCCTGCTGAGTTCATTCACCAAGTAGCAACTATACGAAGGGGGGAGTGTTTGGACTGGCTTTTTATCTTTTTCACCACATTCTTTGGGACCATTCCACGGTGCCTTCCAAACAACAGGAATGATGGTATGTATTGGTATGTAATCAAAACATGGATCAACTGAATCAAGTAACATGTCAGAAAACAATGACCCACCTGGTAGAAATTCGAGACATCACCGACCATCCTCAACCCAACCAAATAGTAGGCCAGTGCCCAAGTGCGTAGCTTGACAGGTACCAAACCATCTGATGGCCCCCAACCCAACTGCCCCTCAGTAACGGTGTTGTTTCTCCAATCTTTGCG